TATCACATACAGCAGTGATTTAGCTTTAAAATGTTAGGCTTAATAATTTTAAGTGACCGTTTTTCTTTTTAGCACCTTGTGCATCAATAGGCATTTATATTTATTCTTACTTTCCTTTCATTAATCGATAATTCAACGGCCAGTATTGAGTTTAATTTACTGAAATGCAACATCATATTTATGGTAGACCTTGCGACGATAGTGGCCATGCGAATATGTAATCTCAACTACCTCAGCATGGCCCATTGTAAAATTTCTCATTAAGCTTTTGGATTCATTACTTTTTAACAATGTGATGACTTTGATAAACAGTTTGCTTTTATGAAGCACTCTTCTTCCGACTGTATCTTGTATGGAGAAGGCGCATTTAACTATTCGATTAACCAGTGTATACATGTGTGTAGGTATATGAAAGGTCCCACAAATTTATACCGAGTTTGAAATTGATACTTTCCAAATTGTTGATGACTGCTGCTGCGGTTTAATACAAATGGACAAGCAACAATGTAACGCTTGAACGAAGTATTGGTAGTTTAAGCACTTTTATAATAGAATAAACGAAGCCAGTGTTGTGAAAGCTATTGAAGTGCAGTTAAAGCCAACTATTGTTTAAGTTTGACAACAAAATTTGCGCGAACATATTAGAGTTTGCAAATTCATACCCTTAAAATTTTAAACGAATAATTGCCGGTACCATCCTTTGTCTCTGAACCTCATCCAAAATAAATAACTTTGTTCTTATATATCTTGAATTTTGTGATTTGTATACGAAATTATATTATGATAGTAAACGTAGTGTTATTACTATAAAATCTATGTAAGCAGAAGTGAACCGTATTTCTTTTATAGTTTTATATGTGATTTCCAAACCACTATTACCATGTATCAAGATGCATAGGGTTCTGTTACTTTATGCTTTCGTTTTGACGTTAGTAATAGTTTTAAAACATGGACTATTAAATGCCGTAAGTATGCTTAACATACATAAATTAAATTATATTTAAGTTTGTCCTGCAATTGTTTTTAAAAAACGCGGACATGCTAGACTGCGAACTGCGCATTTAATTAAGATTTTTGACTTCTCCACATCTCAGATAAATAAGATGTGAATCGGCTGCTCTAACTGCTTCGGTCTGTAAAATGCTGCAGATGATGAGCGCAATCCCAGTTTTGTAAATAGCTTGATATAGTAAGTAGACTCACTGTTTTCTAGGGCGATTTTTCACATGCTCTAAAGCAGAAAACTGGCCACAGTCAGGTGACCCATGACAACCATTGTATCAATACTCATATTTCTCTTAAGTTGTCTTGTAATCTAAGCTTTCACCCAGATTTTACGTAGATTGCCGAAAAAGGTTTCAGTGACTTTTAACATTTGTTTATATTTTCTTCCTCAGTATAAATGCATTAGAATAAATGGATAAAATTTGTACTTACATTTAGGTGTCCAGCTACGTTAGTAAATTTTCTATCAAGCTGACAGCTTTGATCAGTGAATAAGTGCCTTACGAACATTACATCTGTGTACAGTGGCGATATTTCAAGCTACCATTAAATATCCTGCAGTCAGTAACAATATAGTTGTACGTGAAATACGCCTTTCATATTTTTAGCCCTTATAAACTGTAGAACTGTACGAGCAGAAAACTCGTATTCTTTTTTGTATTGTATCGTCCAAGCGAGGATTCATCATTATCATTAACATTTATGACGTGTAGAAAAGTAAGACAATCTACACATCCTCATATCAGACTAAAATTATTCTAGAATTCGTTAACTTTTTAAGACCAGCGTCGCATAAAAGATAGATCTTTATCCAAGAGATGTTCTAGGCTACCATCATGAAAAGATTGTTGCGGAAGCTAATGCTAGCTTCCAAATCAATGACTGATCGAACAAACATGATGCTGTGGCAGTGCTACAATTTTTTTCAGTAGACTTCCAACTGTACTATGAATTCTGTAGTAATGAGTAGCAAGAAAAATATGATAATTTTACTTAGATAATTTATGAAGACCAAAACAAAGTATACTCACAATATTGGACTTCATTGCATCATCATGCAATTGTATCTAGGAGAATATAGCAGTACCAACTTTAAGTTTGCAGTGGTTTAGAGTGAATACGAGAGTAAAACACAGCAAGTATCACATAATACCTTTCTATGGCATCAAATAGTAGTTGGAATTTAATACACTGTTATACCATGGACAGATCAATAGTTTTAATTCAACTCATAACTCCGCATTGATGTATTCACCCCAAATAGCAGTTGCTGTTAACGGATTGGTATTGCATTCGAGATATTGATAAATTCATGTTGTTAAAATGAAGGACGCTGTATTCCTTCAGAATCCAGAATAACATTAGTTATGCAGCCCTTTTCGTATTTAAAAGCACTAATGTCCATCTACTTGATGGTAAATTGCATGTTTCACATAGTTTTCTACTTAAAAATAGAGTTGATGATTTCACATTCCCCGTACCAATCGAGACCTAAGAAACCAAACAGCCATTTAGCTAAATCGTAGCAGCCACCTGCAGTGCGTTTGGGTGGATGCTAATAAAAACGTATGAGGCAGTGTGTGTGAGTGTGGCTAAATATCTGCTTGCTTTAAAGCAGCAGTTAGATAAAGGAAAACATATTGCGCAAGATTAGAAGCAACTGGCTACAATTTGTGCAGTAAACATTTTATTAATGCGTCTTTTGTTGAACCGAAACATGTAACCATAAAATTCAGCTTTTGGCCTTTACTTTAAATAAGATTTTAATTTCTTTGAAGTATAATTCCGATGGCATGAGAAAATAGCTGCTAATGTTATGTTCAGGTTTTTGGACAACCTGAACTTAATAATTTATGTATAAACATTTCCAACTCGGACCGTTTTTGCATGGTTTTAAAAAGCACCAGCTGTTGGCACCAACATTTGCTGAGCTAACATTTTGATTTGCACCTATTTCACTAGTTTTTCATGTGACTAAGACGGGTTTTTGAATAATGAAGAACAGTTGTTTGCATAAGTTTAGTAGATAGAATGTTACCCAGTTTAGGGGCTTTTCCTTGATATATACTGCGAAACCCCAAAGTTTACCTTATATGCCTCTTGGTCAAATAGATTACCCGCCGCAGCTTCTGCTTCGTTATATCCTAAACCGTAAAACCTGATCTTAAGAAAACGGCATTGTTTTTGGTTCTGAATTGATGGATATAGCTCCAAAAGGAACGTCTAAACAAGCAATTATTAATGGTACTTCCAATTTAACAACCTGCTTTACATTAACTGCTTGTTTCCAGTTTTGCTGGTGAACATTTTGTTACATAGCAGATAAGCTTTTGATCGAATTAACACAGTATGTAGTCTAAAATATTAGAGAAGTTGGAAATCTGGATTTTACTTGGATGTATGGCTTAGTGTGAAAAGTGGTGTCACTATACACTATTTGCAAAAATATGCAGAGCGGGTAGAATATGTGCTGGTGATCTTCGACAAGTATGAAGGTATATACTGCCGGTTGTATTGAATAAACTTTGCCTCCTTACTAGTTAAGTAACTGTGTGGAAGATATAAAACAGTTTTCCTGGTCTTGAAATTACAAATTGTTTTGTCAAATTAGCTGCCAAGTATCATGATGCTTTTCGGATTTTCGTGACAGAGGAAGTTTAATGTTAATCTCTTTGTAAGCTGAATAGATAAGAAAGTGTCTAGACAATTAAAACATACCTAAGTTAAATGACTTATGCACTTAGGTAGACCATTTGAAATTGTCTGCTCAGTAAGTTTTGCTAAAGTGCTATTAGTAGGGCAAGGGCCCAATCAGTGGGACAGTAAATAGTGTAGTGCCTACCATCCAGTCAAGATAAATTGCCATCGATTTAGTGAATTTGTGGCTGGGTACGTGGTAATGTTCTTTGTCTATTCTACTGCATATTTAATGAGTCAATATCTTGGTCATCTTCACTGAACTCCCTGGCAGTTAATTGAACCGCTATTTTCTAAGCTACGTAAGCAGTTTAGATTTAGCTATACAATTAAGCGGTAGTACTGAACGCACTAATTTATAGCGTCGTTTACAAAATTAATAGATAAACTTATTTTGTTTTCTCTTCAATGCGAGATACACATTTGGCGGCTTCAGCAACGACGCGCATTCAGGCAAAGCGTATAGATCAAAAGCTGTTATGAACAGCTTAAAAACAGAAAGCTGTTAATTTTAGAGGGATGGAGGTGATAAGAATTTTCCAATAGACACGTACATCCCAACACATGTTCAGACGTCTTAGACGCCTGTGTTTTGCACCCATACAAACGGATTAGAAAAGTCTGAATACACACAGCTATAATTTAAGAACAACCGTAGCATGAGAATAAATGTTTTTGAAACAGCTAAGCAAATGGGAAAATTGAAATCCTCATTTTAAGTACGATAAAAATGTGTTGGCGCTTATATGCAGTTAAATTTGTACCTGGAGAAAAAGGACGGTAAACTTTGAATAGACGATAATTTAGTTACGTAAGTTTAGGACGCGTTATAAGCTGGCGATATATTGCGAAATTAAATCAAGCAAATACCGAACGGCACTCAGGTGATTACACATATTTGCACTCGCTGGTTTCCTTATGGTGGACATCCTCAAACATTATGGATGGTGATGTGCAACAAATACATTTGCAGCAAGATTTTTGGAAATGTTAATACCGTAATGATGACAATCTCCCTGCGGATACACGAATCTAGTAGCATGGCAATAGAGACAAACCTTTCAGTGTCGAATGAAAGTAATCAGGGTTTTAAGGCCACCAAGCCCACTTATAGCAGTATACCTCCCTCCCACCGGAATTGCACTTTTACCACCTATTTAATCTCTTCAGACATCCAATACGGCAGACCGATTACTTATTCCCCCATTCTTAATTTTTAATTATAGTCAAAAATATCTGCTGTTAATGAATTATTAAAAATGTTCTTGTTCTCCCTGCTGTATATATTTTGCGCACAGCTAAAATTAATTGGACTGGAACGAGATCACGAAGAAAATGAAAAGCTATCTCCGTCTTCTGGGGGACAACATATAAAAGGGCTATGGAAACGTGCTTTCCAATCATTTCGGAAAGACAAGGCAAGCGTATGGTATTATATCAGTAAAAACGACAACCATAAATTTATCTACCGTTTTAGAGTAATGATAATCAACTTATTGCGACTAACCCAGCTGCTGTGAACTAAGTTTCCAACTGATGACTAACACTGAGAAGATTTGCAATTTTTTGAGACTAACTGCGGTAGGCTTTAATAAAATGCTACGACTATAGTTGCGAAAATGTCACTGAATATCAAAATAGGTAAAGCGCATGAAATGATGCTTTTAACCTACAAAACCATTTGTACATTTTGCTAATCTGAGCTTAAAGACGATCGTGACTATCCCAACTTCACAGTGTGTCTAAAGCAACGGGATTGTTATCCTGTATAGGAAATGTAACGTTTTGCTAAATCGTTTAAGATTAGCATACCAGTTTACCGTCCTTCTATGAGGCAGGATTAATATTGCTTTTTGTTTATGTGTTTTGGTTGTTTCAACCGTCTTCGACGGTATATACACTGATAACTTTTGGAAAACGATGGTGAGCAATTTATTACAATTACCCTCCAAGCGATTAATGGAAGAACCTGGCACGGGAAATCCAGTAACCTCCTTGGAACAATAGAGACAAAGGAAGTCTAGGTCTGTCGTGTGATTAACCCGGTCTTCCTTAGCAAGCAGTCACATTGTTTTAGGCAGCTACGACCTGCTTTTTGAAGTCGGTGATGTATCTTATACGGAATGAAGGTGTTCAAATGTGGGCAATATACGACATCAGTTTGACATTATCTTCTTGTAGAAAAAGAACATCAGCTTTGGTTTAGTTGTGTAGATCATTGAATAAAGTTGAGTTGATCTGCATTTCAACTAATTCGTATGTTCGTATGGTAATGACAGCTGCTTACAGTGTTCAAAACGGCGAAAATAAAACCGCAACCATCTTTTGTTTACATGCGGTTATATACATTTTAAATTTACGATGAAATCATACGAATATTTTATTTACATATCAATCAGTTAGAGTGTTGAATATAAAGTATTTCTTAGCCAGTTATGTATGGGCTAATCAGCAACACCTGTTTGGTGTAGAAAAGCAGCTATGATAATTCTAGTTGATTGCCAAATGACGAATAACATCGATATCAGTAGGAGTGAGAACATGAAGGCCCAAATGAATAAGCGCATTATTTGCCGAAGTAACTGAACTATAATGCTTTACTACCTACTAAACAAACAGCAGCCTGGATTCCAAAGAGTTATATCAGGCTTAAGAAGGGTTCTCAGGCATGTTACCAAAAATAATTTCAATGGATATTTCACAACTAGGTGGACGGCAAATTAGATAATGTAAGCCGTCGGGGAAATTTATGATTAACGCGACTTTCATGCAGTGTTTTCAAGCTTCCTTCCAGATCGTTGGAGCTGTGCTATTTAGACGACGTTACATTTAATATATACAGAATGAAAATTGAGGTAGGATGAACTATAATTATTTGGATGCTGCAGCAAGTGTACACCAAAAGAAAAAATCTTCAGGAGGACCTAAGACAGTTTACTTAAGGCAACAACACATACTTCACTGAGAGCTGCGTTAAAACGAAAAACGTCCTAAAATAAATGGCAGTGTATTGAAACGGAGAACAGATTTGAAAATAGTTTTCTTGCGAGTAAAAATTGATATCCCACGTTATGGGTGGGTTGTGAAACATATATACCTAACTGAAAATGCTACCGAGGATCAACAACGGTAGTGCGAAGCGATATATCTTCAGTAAAGAGTTCCAGCTGCAGTTAAGAAGCAAGGAGTATTAAACTTATCAGTTAATGCTAGAAGGTAATGCTAGACGGTCCGATTGGATTGTACCTTAACCGGCAGTGCTCATTTAATTTCTCATTAAAAATGGAGTACAGGAAATATAGACCCAATTTTAGGAATTTTGCCACGTATTTATGGACACGTTGCCGGATAAATTTCTGTGTGTGGAAAGTAAAGACTGCGATTCCGGAAAAGTGCATACATCTCAATAACCAGGTATCAATTATTAAGCAGGATAACAATGAAAATGGCAGGGATGGTTTAAGTTGAAAGTAATTAATATTCTGCTTAAACAAATAATGTCTCTATGCAATGTATAATCTTATGTTGTGACATACGGAATAAAGGACGTTACGCTTTAGAAACAAAACCATTTTCACGCTACCTAGGGGCGTTTTGTCAAAAAGGAAACGCCGTAAGCCCAAGGAATACATTAAACTGTAGTCTACCAAGCGTCATAAAATAAAAGCACTGTTCATGAATAAACCCCGCAGTGAAAAGAAGAAAGTTATGACTCATAGCTAACAGCGTTTACAGGATCACTTCCTTTTTTCTTATTGGTCATCATGGGTCAGACTATGTACAAGCATCTCAAAGTCAGCAATCTCCAGGTGCTTGCTTTTTGTCCTGTAAAATAGATGAAGGCTACTGCTATATCTTTTTACTGAAAATGGCCTATTTCACACTAGTGCAGTAGCTGAAGTAGGGAATATTAAGCAGTGTCCAAAAATTTATCAAAAGAATGTAGTCTTCTGCCATTTCACTGCCTCACGTTGAATACTACCAGGCAGCATAAAAATGAAACGAAGAAAATCGTGAAAGAGCAAACCAAACGCTGAATGAAGAGGTGAAAGCAAATTGGTACATATTCTAAGCCACCATAGCAGCTTTAACTTAACACCTAGCAGCGTGCACGGTATCCCATGGTTGCATACATTTTCCAAAAACGGTTTCGTAAATCTTTCATGTGCATCAACTAATGCAGAAATATCTGCTTCAGGAAAACTGCCGTATACAAATTGTCAGTATAAATGCAATTTTAACGTAGCGCTTTGAAACCAGTCACTAGATATTTAAAGGATTATTTTGTACCCCTATATTTAGCTACAGTTCTGGAAGCGATTCCAAAATGCTAGTATTCGTTCCATGAAACTGAAGCACGCAAAATCTTAAGTCCCAATTCACGGATTATGACACATGTAGGAGCATTAAAAAGATTGAAAGCTGTGAGGCCAGGAGCAATGAAAGGAATAGTATAGTTCAATATAAGTGCGGTCTCTAAGCAATGCTGCACTATTAAGTAGGACAGATAGAGTTTGGCATAAGTTGGATCTAACCCTGCCCCCGGTGAAACCACTAAAATATATTACTATCATCCGTTAAGACGAATTACTTTCCAAATAATATGTACATGAATAGGTCACTTATACAAATCAGGAATAAAGCAGTCTAAACAGAATACGTTGCATCACGTCGATAGTCATTGGATAACTTTAGTACCGGATAGCGTTAAATTAACTTATTTGTGTTGAACTTTCTTGGTAAGGGCATGTATGGTTAAGAAGACGATCTGTACGTTATAGCCTTCGTGCTTTTCTAGGAGAATATACGTTAATACACAGTTAAATGCTTCATGCATATCAAGAAATATGATTGTAGTGTCAGTTACAGACTGTTTTTCTCCAGTGACGCAGTCTAGCTAACATACTTGACAAGATATGCTTTATTGAGTCTGCATAAAAGCACACAACTAGTGAGGATGCATGATTAAAGAAAATCACATATTCATTTTAACAGAACGTATTTAGTTCTTCCATTACTCTGGGACTATCTAAGTATGATGGATTGGAGGAAAGTTTTATGTTCCCCACCGGACCAACTTATTAGTAAGGGTACGAGAGATAGATTATTGAAACATATTACGTTGTGGTTGAATACTGATGAACGGACATTCGACGGTATGTTGTTTACCACGGTATCGTACCATCTGCTGCATACTGACCAAATCATCATCGGCCAAAGTAGTGGCAAGACCGTTGTCCGAGAACATGCACATAACTGTATAGATTTTAGGCACTCCAACTTAGATGGCAGCGTGTAAGTCCAACTGCTTTATAATTCACCGATAATATTTTAAACAGATACAGAAATTCTCCAAGCAGTCCGATTTTACATTAGAAATTGTGCTTACTGCAGATATGTGATACGTTTAAGTGCGGATAAATTGAGCAGATTCATTACATTTCGTGTTACAATTCTACTTCCAACTTTAGAATAAACGGGATAAAAGTATTCCCGATCCGAAAACAGAGCAAAATATATCCGGTAGGTCATTCATTGCGCCCAAGCTTTTATTATTTTTATATCGTTTTTCGTGGTTTTTCTTCTTGTAATCTACTTCGTACCCTTTCAGTATAAGTTTTAGCCTATTGCTCATAGCCTCTATATTGTACAAACGTCAGTCGCAAATTTGCAGCTAAATACTGAATATGTGCTTTTGAGAACGTTCGAATACCTGTGGTGCGTAGATAGAATCGAGTGTCTTAACGCCAGAGGAAAAAAGGAGATAGAAAAAGATTTAAAAATTGCTGCATTTAAATGAAAGTGCACGCGATTGCCTTAAACGCATATTTCGTTTTCCGCCTACCTACACTCAGCTTGAAGTTTTCACCTACTTGGCTGAAATATGTTTGAAGTGGTCCAACCACATAGTATTTAAAAACAGGCTAACTGAAGAATGTTAGTAATTTGTTTTGCCAGTAAATATTTGGTTTAAACCCCAGCAGTAATACTGCAAATTGTTTAGACTTCGCCGCCGTTTATATAAATATCCTTTAGCCAAGGGGTTGGATAGTTGCTTCAATAAGCACAACCAAAGGAATGAATAATTTAGTGCTCAAATCTTATTCGTTATTAAAGACGAACATAGTTAACCTGTTTGCACAAAGCGTCAGTAGTAAAATCTAGCGATAGTCCAGCTTCATACTATTTAAACGCTTATTTCTATATATGGTTACGGTATAACTTGGACAAAGTGTAATCAATTGAAACACAACTAATTATTTAACTGTGACTTAAGAAAACCGTTCATCAATGCATGCAGTTTGCAGTTGCATCGAAGAAGTGGCCCATTGTGGGCTAATTACATTACGAGAAAATTTCGGGCAGATTATTCACATTACTGCAAGGATCTGAGCAATTTATAAAATGTAAACTTGCGATCTATTGTGCTTAAAATTGAGCAAAAATTAAAGCTTGATATTTTACGTACATGTATATTGTTCACGTGTTATTTTCTTACTACGACTAAGCCTGTTACTAATTAAATTGCCGATGGTATTTAAATGTTAAGGTTTTGGCTAATAATCTGATTTAACATTCAGGTCTTTGTCACTTTTCTTTCAGACGAGATTGATCCCGTGTACCATTTGCTCAGGTGCGCTGCCAGTAAAAGCCAAGTCACGGGGGCGTTGACTAGCGGAAAACGATCAAGCAATTTGGCTCATCATCGTGACTCGAGTCCCTCTGATGTTCCCCTAGCAAGTTAGTTGGGATACAATGGCTTGCAAAAGCATAATTTAAAATGCTTTTTGTTAGCTAGATTGCGGATACTGTTAGCGATAAATACAGTCAGTTGAAGTGTTTTGCAAATCAGGGTAGCTTATTTTTCCAAAGATTCTGGGCATTAGGCTTCATTTTACAACTAGGCTTAAAGAATGACCTCAAGCCAAGTCATTATTTGTCTATCTTTTGCCACCTTTTGCAACGCATTGTTTTTTTGATTGTGATCAGAATGATCAGTTCTATTACCATCTAACCTTCGAAGAGACAGTATTGTTAAAAGTTAGTTGTGAGAAAACGTCGAGTCTGCAGATTTTGCTGAAAGGTAAGAAATATATTTTTGTTGCACTTCAGTGTTGCCCTCTCTCATTCCTGCAATATACGACATGTTTCGTGCTTCTCTTAACTCATTAGGTACTCACACCTTGTTCTGGGAATGGAACTCGGTACACAGTGTTTGGCTGCTATCGCCATGCTTGACCTCCGCAAGCAACCTCGCCTGTCTCTCAAATAACTGCATACCAATAATAAGAAACTCTGGAAGCAGTGCGTTTGTGATACTCGAAAGCGTCAATCTTTCGTAATTAATAACTGAACCCATATCCTCTTGCAACTTTTGCACCACTATCTCCTTGATGTCAATATATCGAGGTTCACAAAGATTATTCATACAGCTGCCGAAAGGGTTGGTGATTGATGTAAGTTACTAGGATCTATATGTCTGGGTCTGTTATGTCACGTGTGCAAAAGCACTAAGCACATGTGCCGTGGTGTTTATTTGACACCTAATGCGGATACACTGTTCTAACAGTTACGCAATGTTACAAGTTTTGCTTTGCTTCCAGTCTTCTACGTGGGTACATTCATAAAAAATTACTGTCATAATATTGTTTCACATTTTATATTCACAATACGGTAAACATATTTGTTGTTTGTCACGTCTTACCTCATTTCTTTTCAAGGAAACCGGCTTTATCTGATTTCTGCACTAAACATAGATCCACCCATTAATTAACAACTATAGGAACCGAATCGGGATACTTCCAATTCTGTGCTAAAATGCAATACAGATATCCTAGATGTCTCGACATGAAGGTTTTATCGTAACATGCAGGTAAAAATTTGAAGAATCTGTAATGAACTTGCGTAACTAAGAACAGTACTAGTCTTCAGCTGATAAAATCAAAGTTAGGCGATGAAGGATAATTAGTTGTACTATATATTATCCTTGTTAATTTGATAAAAGGCAACATCGGTACATATTCTGTGTGTATGCACTCCGACATTATTTAATCATTTGAAAGGCAATGACTTTTAAGCGCATCCAAAATTTAGATAACGTAGGATTATAGAACGTTTATCCGAGTGAATGAAAGATGCGGTTTGTATACAGTGGGTGGCTATCAAAATGAGATGCGCATAGATTGTGTGCTCACGGCATAAACTGTGGTTAGATTAAGTTGCCTACATATATAACATAAATAATTACACAAATCTCTGGTTTAGCATTTCGTGCAAAGATGGTTCTGTACTTAATCATCTTATATTCGATGCAAAGGAAAAGCTTTATATGTGGTTGTATGATAATTTTGAAGACTTCATTCCGATTATCCAATATGAATGAAATTCTTTATTATGTTCAGCAAGTGTGAATAAATGAACCATTAGTTTAAATAATTTGGGCCAAGAGTAAAACCTATAAAAAAGTGCAATACTGCACCTTTTGTACTGAGTTGAGAGTGATCGTGTATTACAATTGGTTAGCGAGTTTGATTGGATGCCAGCCGACTAACCGTCCTAACCAATCTGGTTCCATATCTTGCAGTCAGCCGAGAATTATGTATGCTATCACCACATGAGTTATAGCAAGGCAACATCCTGTGTATGGTCTGATTAACTTAATACACGCAGTGCCCATACAAATATATATACATAAAGAGTAGTTATTTCGTGCAGTTTGTGTAGTCGGTTGAAAGTAACGCCTGCGCACACAAAGATTGCATGTATCGCAACCGCCGCATACATACAGTAACTGATGCGTAGTTTCGGAAAACGTGATTTTGTTTTGGTGGTTCGATGTCCGCCATTTCAGCTGTGGCTTAAGATAACTTCTAAGTAGAATAGATGATTGAAGTCAACAATTGACGGGAGATATACGGTGCCGGTACTTTTTACGCCAAAACATTTCTTCTTTGTTTCTTATTACTAAGAGATGAGGACGCGGCCATCTGTGGAACGTGTTTCTGACCCGCATCTGCACATACCTCGCCATCCTGGTCAGCAACTGGTATTTCTTTTGCATGTTGTAACCGACTGCAAATATTTGAACTACAAGGTGTAACAAAGTTACATGTAAGCAATGACGGCTTGACCTGGAAAACATAAATGTGCATCGTGCCCTACATCGCTTCCTATACAACGGGGTAAATGTGTGCACTTCCAATTTCAATTCACCCTGAGAGGAATGACCTAGGATATTAGTTTCCTTGCATACATGCATTTAGCTTTAACTAGGTAGAAACTAATCTTTCATTTAAACAAGTAACACTGCAATGTGGCCTTATGAAATTGAATTATGTAAAGATTAAAAACGGAACTATGTCACAAACGGGAAAACTTTATATGGTAATCCTAATTATATTATTGAGACTTAATAATACCTGAGATTTCTAAGCACGAGAGCCAGCACAACATGGTTGAAAATATAAAAACTACATGGATACACATGATCTCATGATCACATGATAGATTTACTTTCTAAACTCAACTTAAGCAAGTATTTCATATGGGTAATCTCCTTCAATATGGACTGGCAACGGTTAATTGTTCCAAGGTACACCTGATTAAAATCGCATTCTATCTGTTGTACCACAAGATGGCTTAGTAGTGCAACGCGTGAAAATTATAATAAGATCTCCCCAAGTATTAATGCTCACAAATGTGCAGCCAAATAATCCCAAGAGATGATTACTAACTTTATGATTCTATTGCTAAAAGTAGTCTTTCTATCTTAGGACTTTAAAAGACCAGTTTCAAAGTTGGTAAAAATGTGCCATAAAAACAGAGTTATAAAATGTATGGGCTATTTTGACGCACTCGATTTGCGATGTAAAGCATTAGTGTAGACTGCGCTACGCAACCAAGCGAACCATAGTCAAATCGATAGCTGGGGATCTAACTTAATTGTCGTGTTATCGGCTGACGGTTGCATTCACAATGGGTGGTCCACTCAACCAGCTTATGGATTTTTCATCACATTTCTGAAAAAGTACCTATTGGACAAATTGACTAAGCAGCTCCTATTGTAAACGCATGGTAGATATCTTGCTCGTCAGTGACAGCAAGCAGTTGGAATATTTGAAAAGCGTCTACTGTATTTAATGGAAACAGCTGTGTTGAAAGGTAAATGGCTACCATTTTAGCAGAGTACTTACCTTGCTGAAGCTACTTGTATTCAAATCAGCACACCCTAAGAGAATACCAGATGTCTGTTGTTTGATTTTACCCGATACCCGTCTGTTGATACCAGCTAAGCACAAATCAAGAGCAGCTTATACAGATGTCATCTGAAACTTAATGTTTAAGTTGCATGGTAACCGTTGTTTGTTAATTCTAAAAAAGTTTGTTGTTCCAGTCTTGTTTGTTGTCAGTAAAACTCAAACTGCTTTGTCCGTTTATTGCACTCGCGTAATTGTTGTCATGTAACTTTGTCTTTTTTCAAGCAGCCACACCAGTTTCAAATCAATTCATGGCCAGAAGTGTTTCTATGCGGAATCCGAGAACAGATATACACTGAACGGCATCAATGACGATGATCCACCGATTCCAATGAGTAGAAACTCATATTCTCACTGATCTGGACTCATTGTACTCCAAAACTAATGTTGAGTTGTATTGTGTGTATATGTCATATCAGTTGTGTTTCATTAATGAAAAAGCAAAGTGAGTCAACCGTTCTTTAGTTGGCTTAACTAACCATTGGTGGTACGGTGGGATAAATCGACTTACAGTTTCTAGCTCAGCAAGATTATTTTCAGTACGCTGACTATCTAGCAATGATGATATCTTGAGAGTTTAGGTGAATAGCATTTCAATATAAAAACACTTGAGTGCACCACCGATTTAATTTATCAGCTACTGAGTACGTACTAATAGTGGGTACGAAAGGTTCTGTCACATAATGAGAACTAAAGATTTAAATATTTTGGCAAGTAAGTTATCGTTGTCTCAGATGTCGTACAGAAACGCATGCTAAGCATATGAAAATGATGAATATGCCCTTTTGAATAGCATTAATAGATATTTGATTTAGATTACTCGCTGAAAACATACAAACGTATTGCGAAATATCAAGGCTAACATAATAAACAACATTTCTGCTCATATTATATCAAGGTCTTAGTTGCAGCATGAAATCAAACAGTTCAAGCCATTCATAGATTCTGTGGAATTGGCGTAATAGTTCCATTACCGTAACAAATTTGGAGCCCGTAGCTTTTAGTTACACCTGCTTAAGCGGCGCAAATGTGGTTAGAAACAGCCAAGCAAGCACCATCTTGGGGCTGTTGCTAAGTATGGTTTAAAATAAGATGTTCCACGTGTTACCAACACCTCGCTTGTCAGTGAACAAAAAACAAGCTGTTGAAAAACAGTTCTTCTGATACAACCTCACTTAGAATTTCATCATATTTCCAGAGTGCAAGAAAATCATCCGAACTCAGTTCAATCCATCAAAAATGCCAGAATATTTGCCTCCCATATTGGTGGAAACTTGCTATAATTGACGGAAGTTCTATAATAGTAAATATAGGAAACAGCTTACAATTAATCTCCCCGAACTTTGACTTTGTCTTCGAGACTTACTACACCGAAATAGATGCTAGTAAATCGATTCCGTGCTATGACTAGACGATGAAAAACAATGAAATTGTTTTCACCCGATTGACTCCACGCTCAGTGCACACATGAATAATTAACTACAACGCCACCATTCACTGTTAAAGTAGATATGTAGATAATTTTTTATGAGAAGTGGAAACAATGCGTTATTTACTAATAAGACATTTAGCGAGAGCTATTTGACGCGCAGCATATATGTGGAAAGCCCTACTCCTAAGTACCAATCGCATCTTCTTTTAACCAAACACGGTATATCGCATCAAAATTAGCCTATATGTTATGACGGCGAGCGACTAACTCTTAGTGACATGATTGTGGGTTTCGTCCATGGTAGTTTCGGAGCATGCACAATATTGGTTAGCCCTAATATTCCTAAAAGTCCATCAAGCGCCATTACTCACGCTTGTGAGATTTTCTGACTGTCACTCAACCGAGGAGAATATCCACAATATAGTTAAGTAAGAACCTGTTTACAATTGATCATAAGTTTATATTGATGAGTTTGCTTGCAAATAAATTAAGTTTTCTGGCATCATTTGGCACTGTACAGTGAAAATTGGCCTGCTTATTCCCCCTAATACGTTGGTAGCAAAAGTTTACCATATTTACGTTTATATTTTACACATACTGTTTATCCCAAAGAAGTATTAATATATAACAAGATGGGTTGGGTTCGAAGTCTTCCACTAGTCATTTCAATGTTTGACTGAAAAGGACTGGAAGAGCAAATGCATAGTCATGAGCATTCATTGCCAGTTTGGACTGCATAGCATTTCTTTTATTTTGGATGTGCAGTAAATATAAAAATCCTTTGCAAGTTCGCTTTGGTTCTTCAAGATCTTTAGTGGTCCTACAACACGTTACCATACTGTCAAATTTTTAATGTCCGACATTCAATTCCTGAGTTTTCACATTATTACACAGCGAATGCATGCTGATTTATTTAACTTAGTTCCTAACGGAGCAAAAATGTATTACACTCTGGCATTGCTATTTCTAGACTAATTTCCAATATCATAATTCATTTTCATTTGTGCACTTCAAGAGTTCTCGTGTAGGGATCGATTTCTACTAATGTTCTACTGCGGATGGCACCCACCCGTCAGCCTTTATCAATATGCCACCAGGCCATTTTGCTTGTGCTTATTATTGCCTTGTGCTTTGCAGCTGCTCGGAGTTATTTCTTCGGAAATGCGATCCAGTTTGCTATTCTTAATTTGCTTACTACTGCTCAACATGTTTTATTTTGTTTCACTGTTAGTTCTGATTATTTCATTGTTTCAATATAATTTTGCCGTAACTGCTAAGCCATTCGTAATGTAGAAGCAGAAATACAGTATCACCTGTAGCAACATAGTTAGACATAGAGCTAGTGCTGTGACATGCTTGATTTGTCAAATGAGTTTTCGCATGTCCTACATTGGTTTATCTAACGACCAACTTGAGCTTCGCATGGAATTCAGATTGACCTCGTCCTTTTGATGAAGCGTCAGACTACCTTTCAATGTTCAGCAGTCGATAAAGCTCGATAACCAGCAAGAAGTGTATAACTTTCCACATAAAGGGGCTTCGTCAGTTTACCCAAATCATAGGAAACAGCCATAATTATTTTAAAGAAATCGCATATCTGACACCAAGCAGCTAACAGGAACGATATACATCCGTAACTATAGGCTCAGCTGGTCTGTCTTGCCGTTGTTGCGTTCGAAGGACGGTAGCGTATGCAAAGAAGACAACTAGAAAATCTAACAAAGGAAGAAAGTGATGGTAACTGTTAACGATCACCCGCGTTGTAACCGCATTAACCTTATGCATTTGAATTAACCGATGCAAATTAACGGATCTGCTACAGCCAGGACGTTGAATTTCCGTAGTTTGGTGGACATGGGTTGGGAGTGAAGCAAATCGCCAGTCTTGGAAAATCAGACGGGAAGAGAGATGGCATCTGCGAGTCGCTTCTGTTGATGAAGTCAGCCCTAGACTTATACTAACAAGCGTCGATAGAGTAAGAAGTCTGAAATTCCATGTTCGCCCAGCTACGGATCAGTTAGACCCGGAGAAACTGTAGTCTGCTATAGTTTAGCTTGAACGGTTATGTTAGTAAGGAAACTAATCTCCACATTGTGAATTTTTGCTTTGTTCCGTGGGTACATCAAACCCAGAATAATAGGTCGACGTACTCATCATGCGCGGACAGCGGTTCCTACCGTGGACTGCGCATAGCTTCCACTACTTTTGTAGTTTAAGAAAGAAACGTAACGATTTGTTCAAATTCTTCGCCTCTCAACGATCGGACGCACTAGGACTGGATGAGAACTGGTTGAACCCTATAAATAATCACCCAAGAAATTCAGATTGTGGGTTACCCTTGCTTCTGGTATAGCAGATTATCAAACGAATTCGGTGTTGTGCTGTTAAATAATCGGTCCGAATTGTGCAGGAGCCTGGTAGACATACAGCTAAGTTGGAATAGTCTATGCGTGCAAATGTAATGGTTAACACACTTGTGGTATGGCGTACTATACGTGGGAGTAGCCTATAGCAGTCCACAATTGGTTGCTTGGATCCGTTGCTAAATGTAGGAAATCATGTCTGTCGTTCCCGTTTCCTGCATATATTAGTGGATTTAAGCCCCCTCCAATGGTTATCAAGTTGTTCGAGGTCTCTTCAGAAATTGCAAGTGGAGGCAGACTTTGCTAAGATGATCATTGAAGGTGGGATAGCACAAAACCTATGCCAGCCGACACGATTCACAACGTAATATTGTAACTATCTCGATTACAAGGGAAATCAGAAGAGCTGGCATTAATATAACGATGATACTGTAATATACCAGCGATACATAAAGGAGAGACTTATCGCATGGTCTTGTGCGATAGCTGTAGTCCATGTCAGTTTTGATGCGGTTTCATATGTTGGCCACAACGAGGTTCAGCACGTGGATGTAGTCGTGTGAATCAGTCTACTTGTGTGTGCTGCGTCTTGATGCGACAAAAGTATGTTTGCTTTGAGAAAGGGGGTGAGCTAAATATTTTCCTCAATCGCCCACGGTTGTCATATGCCTTGACTAGCCGACGTGCTAATGGATAGAGTTCAGATGGCGTTTTGAATTAGCCTATACATCACGTGGTGGAGAACAGGTGGTGCGTAAAAATGCTTTGCAATTTTAGGTAAATGAAACATGCACTTCTAAAAACATGTACGGTTTGCAAAAATTAACCCTCCGTACCTTAATTCATCATGCCTAAACCTGATGTTGACCAGCGGCGAACAGCGTTTGCGTGCTGTTTTTTCATAGTGCCTATGGCAGCCAGCAATCATTGATGACCATAGCCAGGCTTGAGGTTTCCCTGTGATGCTAGCTTCCGCTGGAGTTATCCTGCATCCATTGCGATACTAACTTTGATAGTCTCACTCAAACCGTTAGTTAAATGGACTGGGTGCTGCCGCATCGGTATAAGTCCGTCAGCCTGTTATAAAAGTGGGAGTGAAACCGCTGTGTGCTAGTTTTTACCCCTAAATTGTCGGAAAGCTAAGTAAGTGAAGTCACCTTAATTCCCCAAACATTATGGCACGACGACGTGCATTTTGAACTATATTTTTCCCATCTGGCTCTGCTGGCGAGTACAGTGTGCATAATGCGATGGAAACGATGTAACAGTGCTAAGTACGGAAGCGTCTACATTTGGAAGTAGAGCTTGTAACGCCAGCGAACACTGCACCCAAGCGAATTTTCGCTTTCGTGATGAGGCGTCTGCGACTTGCATTCGAAGTAACAGTTTTAGAGAGCTCAGACAGACAGCATTTGTCTTCCGGCGCTGAACGTGCATTTGCGTTGGCTAGGCACTACCCTTCCGTATTCGCAAGGGAGTATGCTTCATTAGCAATATGGATGTGTGCAACTCCTGTAGAATTCTGGAGCCTGAATTGCGATGTCTCCTAGTTACTTGTTAGACTGGACGGCATGTAGCCTGGCGCTACTAATGGTCTCAAGCCCAGATTCGCAAGTCATTATCATCCAACCTCTCATGCTCTGTGGCTGATTCGTGCAACAAATA